CTGGCTTTCTATAAGCCTAACTTTCGAGATTTTAAATTTTTGTATTACTTAAAAAGGTATCAGTGTTTGTGTCTTACGATTGCATGCTTGGTTCATGTCTCCAAACAAAAATTGCATGCTAGGTTCGATTATCGGTGGGGAAATAATTGTTATTTTCTTAAAGTTCTTTTAGGAAACTATAAAAAAGGTAATTATTTCTCTAAAATAAAATAATCCAAATATTCGCGTTAGGAAGCAGTATGAAATGAATTATACCAAACGGTTAAGAATGGGAAAAATTATTGATACATGTCAAGTTGGGTCACGAATTTATTTAGGTGTTTGTTTTTTAAGGATAGGTTATTCTATTTATCATTTTTTTTGTTTACCTTTGCCTATAAGTGGCGGAGCCAGGATGGGAGGGGAGGGGGGCGAAAATTAATTTTTTATTTTACATAATATTTTTATTTTTTGTATCTATTGACCTCGTAGGAACTCATTTAGATATATTTATACCAAAATATTAACATTTAACAACATTTGAAACACTGAAAAATGTACTATTGGTCGGGTTCAACAAATATAAAAAGTAGTTTAAAAAGAAATAATTAAAAAAAAAGAGTGTCTTAACTAAAACAATGCTTTTAACTACATTTTAAAAATAAAAAAATAAAAGACGTCAATCAAGTTGTCCCAAAAAAATGAATCTTTTAAATTAGAGCAAACTCATTTACTTTATATGAAACCACTACATAAAGAAAAATACAACCATGCAAATGAAAAGAGAGGAAAAAGGTAGTAAAAAGGTCAAAGTTTTTATTAACCAAAATATAGCATATGAAAATAAAAAAGAAAATGCAGAAAAGGTTACACATAACACATACACATTAGGTGAACTAGAGGTAAATTTCATCTTAGATCTCAAACCAGAACTTTTAAAAGAAGCACATTTAACTGTAACAACAGTACTATGTTTGGCCTTCAACTGTATTAATTTTTTGTTTTCAATTTTTTTGGGGTGGGGGGAGGGGGGCGGCCGCCCACCCTAGCCTCCCCCTGTCTTCGCCCCTGTTGCTTACATCCTCTAACACCGTTAGATCAGAATCTCAAGAGGAGAGAGAAAGATAAATCTTATTTAAGATTCTGATCTAATGATGTTTTAGAGCAGGCAGAAAAAATAATAGGTAGAATAACTTATCTCTTGTTTTGATGCGTCATTTTTATAAAATAACTATTTGTAAAAAAACATTCTATAAAATATAGTAATAATAAAGAGAATGATTAATTTATTGTAAAAGTCATTCTACGCATTATAGTTATGCCAGTGGCGGACTTAGTGCAACTAAGTGCACACACAATTTTTTTTTTAAAAAAAAATATATATTTTACGTTATCAACAAAAATTATAGGATCCAATTTAATCTCTTAAAAAAAAAGTTGACTCGTGATCCCTTTAAATTTTAAAATAAACCTATGTTAGTCTTTTTGAGGGATTAATGTGGGTCTTTTTAAATTTCAGAGATCATGATTTTGATTATCTGGATCTATTTTTGAATTCTGAGGGATCATGAGTAGATTTTTTTTTTCCTAAGAGATTAAATTGAGGCCCGTAATTTTTGTTGATGACCCAAAATGTTGTATTGTAACAGTTTAATTGACTCTTGATTACTTTTTTTATATTAAATTCTTTATTTTTTTTTTGTAAATGTGCAGACATTAATTTTTTTTTAGGTGCGCTATTGAGTTATGCCACGAGTTTTTATAAAAGTCACAGCTTAACACATATCCATGCTTAGCAATACAAGTGATATTAATCGCTCGACATCAACACCTCAAAATAAAATTATTGTTTCCCCTTCCCCTTACATAAGAGATAAGAAACTTTTTTGCTTGAGTTTGTTTCTTTCTCAGCAAAGTAACAAATCTATACACTTTCGATGAATGCTAGTTTAATTGTATGATTAGCTAGCTAGCAATCTTCTTTTTCGTGTCTCCTCGTGCCCATGAAATGAAATATGCATATGCAACCTCCATACCCTACAAATTTTTGGTGTGGACCTTTTTCGCTGCTGCAAATGTATATTCCTACTTTATAAGATGGCTTTTTGAACATTGCACGATCAAGTAGAACAACTGTCTTTCTATCAATTTTTTTTTATTGATGTATAGATATTAGAAACTGTAAATTTTTAGAAACCAATCGATAATTTTCTTCCCTAATTACATACAAAGGAATATTGAGTTTGTGATGGACAAAATATAGCATCTCAATTATTTTATTAGAGGATTTATCGGAAGGTTAATGTCATTTGCTATTCGAACTTTATTTCTTTTTTAGAGAATAATATAAATTATTATAAAGGACATCATTCAAGAGTAACATCTTAAAATTTTGGGTTGAAATAGTTATATAATATCAAAATTTCGATATCACGAGTTCGATCCTCACCACTTTCATTTTCTAGTAGAATTAAAATAAGCACAAAATAAACCAAAAATTGGGTCGATGTACAATATTCACCCTTCAAGCTAAAAGAACTCTTACATTAGAGCGTGTGTTAGAGAATAATATAAATCATATAAAGATCATCACCTAACACTTTAAAGTTTTGAGTTAAAATAATTCTTTACACTTTTAAACATAATTCCAGTGTGAGGTCAAGAAGATTAAAACTAAATAGAAAACATTTAGCCATGTGCATATGTTGGAGTAACTATTTCACAAATTATAATGTAAATGAAAAAACCAATTGCAACCTGTAGATATATATCAGTAGCTGTTGATCTGACAACTGATCGAGTATTATTTACTAACCTAGCTTAATAAATCTTTATAAAATTTCTCATATTTGTCTGTATGCGCCCGCATTGAAGTTCCCTGAATTGTTTTTATAATTCAGTACGCGGATGAGGTGCTAATCACCACACCCACCCGGGGCTACATGTCCAAAACAAAAAAGTTAATCATCTCAATTAGTGTGATGGACGTTATGATCTATGGTGTTATGAGACTTTGCATGATTTGCATAGATGTTGTATCAGCAAGGAAAGTGAAGAAGGGCAAACAAAATTATGGATGTCGTGGGATATGGAAGTCCACAATTGATTAGTGGAGTTGATCTTCATGCAATTATGGATTTCTTATTGTCCCATTCTTCTCATCAGGCTTGATAATGCGAAATTTCTTGTGGCACATAACTTTAAAGTAGGGTCGAGACATTATCTTCTCATAATTATCATCACACAGTACCAAAAAAGCAAAAACTCCTTAATTTGATGATTATGACGATGATGTCCTTTCCTTTGTCTTTGGCTTTTGGATTTTTGTTGAAATTTCAAGCAGTTGAACAATTAGTGGGCAGTCAATTGACTTGTAAGTTCATTCACTACCAGTCCAACTGATCTTCTATCTCAACTTTCGTTACTTCATATCAACTAAAAATAAAAAAGTTTGTTACTGTAATAAAATTGAAAGGAAGAGAGAGAGGATAAGAGAAAGTAGGAAAATTCCAGAGAGAATGAAAATGTCTTCAGTTTCATTATTGAGAGTTACGGAGGAAACTCCTATTTATAGAAAAGAGTTTGCACAATATCCATGTATGTATAAACAACACTTATGTATAATACGCGTATGAATAATAATCACGTATACAAGTGATTACACTATTGGGAGCTGAAACATCCATAAATTTATTTCACAACAGATACAACGTTTTATTGAATTATTACTTCTTACGTAATTCTATTGTCGTTACTTTCAAGTTTGTGTATCCAAAAAAAAAAAAAAACATTGCCAAGTTTGTTTTTAATATTTTTTTTAAAATCTTATGAATCAACAATTATATAAATGAAAATAATATGATAAAAGAATAAAAGGTGAATACATTGGAGGCATGAATGATGACTTCGAGAACTGAAAAGCAAGCAATAAAAAGGAATTATAATAAGGAAAAACTCTCCATGAGGTTAAAAGATGTAAAGTTGTGTCATTTTAAGTGAGAGAAAGAGATAGATAAAGGAGGAGAGAGAGGACAAAAAAATATAAAGATGTAGGTCTCACCTCTCGGTGATAATGAAAGGATATAAGTTGTCATCTAACAAACCAAATACTTTTTCCTTATAATAATAAAGCATTAATTTAGGACGTTTATTAGTTTGAATATTTATAGGGAAATAGTTTTTTTTATTTTACATGAAATTATTTTTTATATTATACTCACAATTAAAAGGTGAATTTTATTTTAATTTTTTTTTTCTTACTTTTTTATGGATCTCACTCATGTAATGTATTGTAAGCAAGTGTAACATAAAATGAGGAAAAAAATTTATGTAAAATATGACAAAATTAATCCCCATATTTATATGTCTATGACTATAACTGAGGTGCTAGTGTAGTCCAAGTTTTATAATGAGATAAAAAAGGAAGAGGTTTTGTGTAGCAATGCAGAGAGACTCTGAGAAGGAATCTCTGGGCGGAGAGAAAAGGTTTTGTTCTTGGAAATTCTCACGACAAAGGGTGGGGGGAAAAAATGAAGAAAATGAGTCTGCGAAATCTGGAGCGAGGACCGTGTTTCATAGATTCTTCTGTTTGGGCTGGCACTCGGTCACACTCACTGTTGCAAGATAGATAGATAGGTCTGAAATAATACTCATAGACACATAGTGATAGAGGGCTTCGCTTGTCTCTTTCACTCTTTTTTAATACTTTACCAAGTCAGGGTTCCACGTGCTCCTGGGGAGTCTCCCCTGTTCCACCATCCTACGCATCTCTCTCTCTCTGCTCTATTTTCAATGCTTCTTCTTTTATTTCTTTTTTATTTTTCCCACCTTTTCATCTTCACTCAATTACACCCTCTGACTATTTGTTCCCCCCACACTTGTTTGCTTCTTCAACCCCATCTATCCCTCTCTCTGCATCTCTTTGTCTCTTGCTCCCTCACTCTCTTGTGTGTGTGTGTTGGGTGAAAAGCTAAACATAGCTAGCTAGCGAAAGCCTTTCATTCAAGGCGGTAGTGGAGGATAGAGTACAATATATCTATTGCAAAGGAAATCTAGTTACTTTGGCATCAAAATCAAGCATTTGGAAGAAGAAGAAGAAGAAGAAGGAGGATTTGGATGATACACATGGAAGGGATCAAAGGAGGTGGAGGAAAGGTTGGTGTGGGTGAAGATGACATGGGTGATGGAATGCAATGCAGTGACCATCCTTACAGAAACAACCCAGGTGGGATCTGTGCTTTTTGCCTTCAAGAGAAGCTTGGTAAACTTGTTTCCTCTTCTTTCCCTCTCCCTATTCGTGCTTCTTCCTCTTCCTCTTCTTCCCCTTCTTTCAGATCCGACATTGCTACATCTTCCATCACACGCCCCTCTACTTCCATCACTACCACAGCAACCTCAGTTGTTGCTGCTGCTTCTTCTTCTTCTCTTGCCCTCTCTTCGGGTAAAAAGAATGGGAGTGATGATGCTCATTATCATGAATATTATACGAGGAGGACCCGCCTCCCTTTTCTTTTAGCTAAGAAGAAGAAGAAGAAATCCTCTGTGAACTCATCATCTTCTGCTTCAGGTGCAACCTCTGATGTCATTCTCAAGCGCAGCAAATCCACTGCTACACCCAGAAGAGCTCGTTCCTTGGTTGATGCAGATGATGATATGGTCGTTGATGGTTTCAGTCCCAGAAAAAGAAACGGTTTTTGGTCCTTTCTCTACCTTTCTTCATCAAAGTCATCTGCTTCCGGTAAGAAATTGAATTCCAAGAGCTTCAGGGACAGTAATGGTACACCAAGGATGTCAACAATTAACGCATCAGCTACAACTGTTTTGACTACTGCAAAGCCTAAGGACAAGTGCTGTTCCGGTTCTTCTTTGGGAAGAAAGAGTGACATTGTTGTTGAAGAGGAGAACAGTCCCAATAGCCACACCACTGCCTCTGCTTCTTCTTTTGAGCGCAAGGTTTCAAGATCTAGATCTGTTGGATGTGGTAGCAGAAGCTTCTCTGGTGATTTCTTTGAGAGAATCTCTACTGGCTTCGGAGATTGCACTCTCAGGAGGGTCGAGTCTCAACGTGAAGGTAAGCCAAAGGTAGCTGCTAGTGGTGCAGCCATTAACCGTGGCGATCACCACCACCATCACCACTGCATGAAGGAAAGAGTTCGGTGTGGAGGCTTATTTAGTGGGTTTATGATGACTTCGTCTTCATCATCGTCTTCATCTTCCTCTTACTTGGTTTCATCCTCTGCTGATGATGCAATGAATGGGAAATCAACGGCTGTGGCACTCTCTCATAACAGGGTTAGGAGTTGGGGTTGGGCTTTTGCTAGTCCCATGAGAGCCTTTAGCAGCAAACCCTCTTCTAAAGACAATAAGAGGGATATTATTAGAGATGCAAATGATAAGAATGCCACGCCAAACTTATCTGCTATGCCTTCCTTGCTTGCTGTTAGAGGCTGAACACAGAAGCAGCAAAGAAGAAAAGGAAAAGGAATAACCATTTGGGGGCTTTAACTTGGTTTATACACGTTAGTATGTTGTTAATTACTGTCTATTACTGCTTTATTTATCATGTGGGTGGGTCTTGATTTTCCTTCATTAGTAATCTAATACTTTCAAGTTGTTCTTCCAGTTCTTTCATTTTCCATACTTTGTGGATACTTGTGTGTTAATATTAAGGTGGATGGATGGGTTATGTTCATCAGCTGTGGAGTACTCTCCGGAAATACGTTCTGGCACTGTGTAGAGTGTTTGGAGAAAGGGAAATTGGAGAAGAAAATCTCAATACATTCACTGTCATCACGTGGTTTGTTTTAATTGTGACATTGGTTGTATATTTTGTAGCTTCCTTCTTGTAAGTTGTAACTCACACTATCATGTTATGCCAAAGACATGTAATTTTTATTTTTGAAAATCACTATTCACATGCATACACATGTTTGTGTGGTGTAGACACCGTTGCGAATCACTCGTAGCTAGATATTATGCCTTTGTCATTGAACTTATATGTAATTTATTAAGTTGTTAAATGATATTTATATTTTCCCTATTGAATAACTTATGATGATTAATCTTTTGTTGTTTTTAGTTTCCGAACAATTTCTTTTTTGTCATTTGCAAAAGGTTCCTTCACTAGTCAAATACAGCAACATGGTTGGAGCAGAGGTGGTCCCCGTAATTGGCATCAATAACTAGATCTTGTAGTCATATAGAGCGTAGCATTTATTTAAGGTTCTCGTTTGCACCTAATTCGCAGTCCTAGTAATTGTTAATGCCCTTCATCTCTCGAGTGTTCCATATGCACAGCTGTATAGAAAGCCAGTGGTTTCTTGTCATGTGCCTAAGAAAGTGCCTGAAGCTTTAAACTTATGGATTGGCGTAGTGTCAAAGTGCGAATGTATAGTGTCAATGCCTTTTAGAGGTAAAAAAAGTTTTTAAAAATTACAATTTAAATAATAAAATACAGAATTCATGTTATTTTTAAATATGTTATGTAATTAATGTAATAACGCAACTCATATGTGGCAAGCTGTGGTGAGTTGTGTTCAAACTCATACGTAGGGGTGAAAATGGACTGGGCTGGGTCAAGCTTTGGCCTTTTACTGGCCCAAGCCTACGTCAAAAAAAATTCAGCCTATCTGGTCTACTGACCTATTAAAGGCTTTATTTGTAAGTCAAACCCGGCCCATTTTTTAAAATAAGAAAGTCTGACATGGCCTACAGGCCTTGCAGGCTTCCCACTGTAGATACTAAGCAAAAAAAATAATTGTATAGAGCAAAGAAATTTTCATTCATGCATGCACTAGACTTCTCATAAGAAAAAAATGACAAACAAGAAAGAGTCAACATAATACCCCAGCTCTAGAATGTATATCATAGAGGAATAGAGTCAAAGAAATGGAAAAAATAAGAAAAATACAATTACTGGATGCTGAAATAAAGTCTACAAGAGAATATCATTCATCTAAAAATCTTTAAACCACCATCAAGACAAGGGAAAGAAGAGTATTATTGAAATATCTTTATCAGTAACATCATAATCCAACAAGGTACCCATTGCTCCATGGTATTACGTTGCAACATCATGTAAAATTTGGAGACATTAGACAAGTTTTCTTTTCATAAAATAAAATAGCACAAAAAGTAAAAGATATTAGTATTTGGTACTTTGCGTCTTTGCCACATAAAATAAATATTGATATTTTATTTTAATAAATTAAATAGGCCAGCTTACAAGGCGTAGGCCGGGCTAGACAAAATTGGCCTATGACCTATTTATTAAAAAAACTTTTTTATAAGCCTAAGCCTACTCTACTTTTATGAAAGGTCGGGTTTGGGCCGGGTTCAATGTAGGCTGGGCTGGGCCAGCCTGGCCCATTTACACCCCTACTCATACGTAATTAGATCAGTTTAGGCGCAACTTGTTTGGTATAGGAGAAATTTTTTAGTATATGAAAATCATGATTTCCAGTATAATGAGTAATTGAGTTTACTCGGAATGGTATAAAAAAGTTGTTTGGTAGATGCAGTGGCAGACCCAATTAATTTTATTTATGTCTGCACATTTAGGGATGGGGTTCGTGGCAATGCCCTCAAATTTATTTATTTTTTAAATTTTAAATGTATTAAAAAACAAAAAGAATATAAACAAAAAAAGAAAAGAAAAATGGAACTTACCACAAAAACAAAGTATCTTTTGAGTCCTCAACAAAAACTACGGGACCCAATTTAATCACTTAGTAAAAAATTGACTCGTGATCCCTCTGAATTTCAAAATAAACTCATATTTCTTTTTTAGAGACTAATGTAAGTCTTCTTTGAATTTCAGAAGAACCACAATTTCAACTAACCGGATCGATTTTGGAATTCAGAAGGACCAAGAGTCGGCTTTTTGAGAGTCGACTTTTTTTATTCAAGAGATTAAATTAGGCCCTGTAATTTTAATTTTTGCTGAGGACACAAAATATACTCTCTCTTTTTCCCCCAAAAAATTATGTGTGCACTTGCACTAATACATGCCCGCCCTTGCGTAGATGTAAATATTACTGGGAATATTGAATAATTTTATTGAGTATATGTTTGGTTGATAGTAAAATATTACTAGTAATATATGATGAACTTACGAAACTAACTTTTAACTTTTCAAAACACCAAACCTAGGTTTTGATGTAAGCAAGGGTATTTTTGTCTCCCAATTTGCTTTTCAGTTTTCCCTGGTGTTGGATTCCTCAATTACCACATTTTTTGGTAATCTAAAATTTTAGTTTTCTTTGTAAATTTGATTACCGGCAAACGAAGGTACTCGAGAAAGGCATGTTGTTAACTTGTACCAAACATGGCAATTCACGTTTACCAATGTAGCTTTACCAGTCATATTCAAAAATACCTTGTACCAAACGCACCTTAAGGATTTTCGTTTGTCTAATATGAAGGTGCTGTTAGGGGGTATTTGGTTGAGGAGTTTTGTTTTGTTTTTTTCGGAATCGTGATTTCGATGCATATGTTAAAAAAGTAAATTTTCCAGAAATATTATTAAAAAATTATTTGATAGACTAAAATATTTCAAAAATATTGGTTTAAATTTTATGATTTTATATTTGGTGGTTGTCAATAATATTTGAAATATGACTTTATTTTACAAATTAACTTTTGATGAAACCGACTTGTCGATTCAACCTTGGCGAACTGGATGATTGTGACGTTGGGGTTACTGGAGCGAAATAGCATGAAATGGAGAGAAATCCTGTAAAACTGTATTGTGAAAAGGAAAAGAGGAAAAGAGGAATTATCCTGTAAAATAGCATTGTGAAAAGGAAAAGAGGAATTCACTATTTCTCCATTGATTTTTGTCACAAAACGTCATGTTTTGGGTTCAATAGAGATAATTTATCTCCATTGACTAAAGAAATCTTTTACTCATATTTTAATCATGAAAATATTAAAACAATAATTATTTATGTTTTATTAAATTATATAAAATTTTCTTGGTAATTAAGAATTCAAGAATATCACCCATTTATTTAGTGATATTATTCCGTGGGATTTTTATTTATAATTTTAAGGCGCAACTCAAGGGGACTTGATATGGGTCAGTTGCATTAATTTAGGTGTAACCTTTTTTATTGGTTGCATAAAATATTTAAAAATAATAATTTTATAATTTTTTATTTAAATTGCAATTTTTAAATTTTTGACAGCTTTTTAGAATTTAATGCTGTATTTGTTTTGATGATGAATAACGCAAAATCCTGTTTGAGAGAGATATTTTTTATTTTATTTTTTTGTAATAGAGAGAGATATTTTGGCTTGAACGGAATGTGTTGGCAATACTTAAGTAATTCCTGTTTACAAATTTTAATTTTAAAAGTAAATTTTCAGTAAAATATAATACAGATTTAATTTTAATTTTAGTTTAATTGGGACCAATCCTACCTAAATAGATTTGGATATCAGATTTTATTTTCTCTACCCGATGAAACATATTAATATAATTACCTCAATTTAAAAAGGAGATTAATGTAAAACGAAAATATTATTTTAATCACTTTAATATTTTATAAAACATTGATATAAAGTATTAAACATAAAAAATAAAAAAGGTTTTTCTTAGCTCAAATAAACTCAACTCCAATAAACTTAATTGACTCAATTTTCTAAAAACAAAAATAACTCAACCTAATATGTGATTGTTTGATATTAATACGGCATTCTATTATAATATAAAAAAATGTGAAAACGAAGCTAAAAAAAGAATAGAAAGTAAAAAAAGAAAGAAACGATTGTGAAAGATAACAGGTGAAATTAGGTAAGATAAGATTAAAGGAATCATGATGGGGACACGAGCCCTTGATGGGAAAGTACAGAAATGCAATGAGACAGAGGAAAGGTGCTGAGAGGACACTGTTACTGTCATTGGTGGATGCAGATAATTAAGATGTGGACCACCAAACCTGTACTTTTAAGTTTTAACCCACGGCCTCTTGCGATTTTCTGCATTAATTTCCTTGCAAGGCAAGCAGCACGAGGTGTGTGACTGAAACCTTGCTCCTCTTAATACATAAAGAGAAATACATTTGTCATATTATATGATAAATAAATAGTTGTTATATTAAGAAAAAAATAAAATAAATTTATTGAATGATGTGTCCTCTTATTTTTTTAATATTATATAATTTATCTTTTTCTTAACATAACAACTATTCATTTATCATATAACACGACAAATGCATTTTCCATAGATAAATCACAATCGATTAATAGCTAGTAAAAAAAACCATCTCTAGTACGATTTCCAACGACAATGGGTGAAAATTTGAAACCCATTGTGATATATATTTAATAACAATTTTATTTAATTGAAATAATTGATTTATATATAATTTTGTGGGATATGATCCGTTTACGGTATTTTTTTGTAAATTACACTAAGTACGACCGGTCGTACACTGTATGGTTAAAGTATGATCGGTCGTACTTAGTGTAGTTTGTAAACAAAAATTTTTGTAAATATAACATGCCCCTAATTTTATTGCGCAAAAGTGATAATAAAAATAGAAAGATTAAATTAATAGAAATAATAACCTAAAAATATATCAATTTATCAAAATAAATATAAATAAAAGTAAAATATAAAAATAATTGAAGTCATTAAAATTATCTAACTTTTGTCTTGTGCCGTTTTTTAGTATAAACAAGCCAAAAACTATTATAATAAAATTTATATTAATGTTATCTTTATTAAATAACATTTACCACAAAATTGCTTATATTGTATATTAATATGGACTAACAAATAAAACGAAAAATTAGGCCGTTACTCAATCACATGAATTTACCTTTCGCTTGAGATTACTTTAACCCACCTTATATTTACACACAACATTATCTTTGGCTGAAATCTTTTTATAACCTTTTTCCCTTTCCCTACCGCGAAAGAATAGGTACTTATTTACTAAAAAGTATAAAAAGGTAGGAATAAAATAATATTAATTAAAAATAAGTCAATAGAATAAATATAATTTTTTTAGAACTTGATTTACTATTATTGGCATGAGCCAAATTAATCTCAAAGTATACAAATAAAGATGTACTTAAAGAGATAAAAGTGTAGTCACAGAGCATATGGGTCTAGAGGTGGCAAAGTGGACTGTCCGTCCCGCCCTGTCATCAATCCGTTAAAAAATGAGTGAGTTTGTCTCGCCTCGCTTTTGAAAGTGGATTGAAAAACTCAGTCCATCCTGCGTCCTTTGGCGGGTTGGGCAGCTTGGTCCGCTAATCCGAACTTATTTTACACTGACCCGTCTCGGCCCGCCATCAACCCGCCAAAAAATGAGTCCGTCCCTCCCCGTTTTTGAGATGGGTTGAAAAATTCAGCCTACTCCGTTCCGTTTGACGGGTTGAGCGAGTTGGTCCACCGATCCGAGTCCGTTTTACCCGCTCTTGTGTTCAACTTTTTTTTCTTTTTCTTTTTTTCTCTCTCTCACTCTCTGCGGTTGAAGTGCAGCCGATCCAGATCCTTCATTTTACAAGCACAAATGTACAGACGCTGAAAACAAGAGTCTACAAGCTAAAAATTTTGGTTATGCATGTATGGTGGCGGGTTCCCTGTAGTTTATAGTTTTGAGATTCGGGACAAACTTTGCCCCCAAAAAGAAATTTCAGGGCAGACAAACATAGCACCTTTCTTCCTTATGCCCCCTACTACAGGGGGCTACCTTTGTTGGAAATTTCTCTATCGTTTACAACTGTATTTTAATGATTATAACTAACCCCCTTCCCTAAAATTCTAAATGTTCTTAAATTACATGTTCAAATTTCAAAGTAACCTTAATAGGAATATGCTCTGGTGTCATTAAACTTGAAAAAGTTTGACTCTAATAATTCCAGAGGATAAACTCCGAACAACGTTAGAACCAAGCAATTAGCCATCTCAACCGATTAGCAGACCAATTCGAATGGCATGGCCCTACGGTCTTGTCCTCTACGTTTATTTAGTTGAACAAATGCACATCATCGCAACCGAGCTTCTTTCACTTCTATTTAAAAAAAAAAAGCATAATTATTTGAGGTCCCCATGGGTCCACTATTCTTTTGGGTTTTCCGAAATTTGGGCTAAGCAATGGAACGTGGCTTTTCAGATTTCTTCAGGTTGTAGGTCCAATACACAACAGTTATCTCTCATTCAGGGAGATCCTTGTACAAAATGACAAAAGCTTTGCAAAATCTGGAAAGTGAATCATTATAATCTACTACAATTTTTGTATGTCACGTGACGGTGATAAAGTGTGATATTTCCAAGAAATTAAACAACACTATTACTTCGATTATTAAACATGAACACCATAGTTATTATATTAATTAGGTCTTACATTTTTATTTTTAACTCCCAAAAGAAAATAAATATTGTTAGAAACTAAATTATGGGCAGAGAATGATGTCAATTCATATTTTTATTAATTAAAATTAAATAATATTAATAAAAAATATTTGGAATAAATTATAATTAAGATTAATTTTTCTCATATTGTACGGAATAATTTTATTTTATATATATACATAAAAATATCTGAATTTCATATTTTCTCTCTCTCTCCTTCACATAATCCCAACGAAACACGGACTTGCTTTTTTCTTTGAATTGTGCGTGTCGGACACGTGTCCGACACGCGGTCAATATTTTGAGACATGTGATCAACTTTGGACACGCTTCGACACGCAGTCAACTTTTTGAGACACGTGGTCAATGCTCGGACACGTTTTTTTTCTTAGTCGTAATTTTATTTTATTAACTAAAAATAAAAAAATTCATTTATAAATCAATTTTTTCTGTTATAAAATTTGACATGAAAAATAAACATTTTTTTTTTTTATATTTATGTTATGAAATTTGAATATTTGATTGATTATATGACTTATTATGGACTGTTATATCTATTAAATATAAATTATATTTTATATATTAAAAATATTATTTAATATCAAAACGTGTCCTAACGTGTCAAAATATGCCATTTTTTAGAATTAATGTGTCAGCGTCTCGTGTTGTGTCGTGTCCCGTGTCAGTGTCCGTGCATCATAGCATAATCCTATATGTATCCCATAATCACCTTAAAGAGTTCAAACTTATGAGAATAATAATCACTAACTTACTTTAAAGAAGTAATTAGAATAATTATAGTAAAAGAAATTATGAATTGTTTATTACCCATCAATTTTATTTGTATCTAACGACGTGCAAGGAGAATGAACTGTTAATGAAAAAGTATAAAAGTTTTAGACTCATATTGGTTTAAATTTATCATTCTCATGTATCAAACATAGGTGTAACATATGGTGTGATGCACATGCACTGTAAAGTCTTTGAATGTCCTTCTACTTTTATTCAATGAGAAAAGAGAATTGTAATATTTGGTAGATAACCTGATATATCCTGACATAACCTACTCCAACCACTTTATTTTCAGAACACGGCCTTTAAGGTTAGCTTAATATTTAAATAAATGGTGCATTGGATGAGGATCATTGGCGCTGGAAGAATTGCAAGACTAATCCCACTTCAAAGGAAAAGTAATTTCTCTCTAACCTTCAAAAAAATTATAAGAATTTGTTTTGGCCATGTTTAAACTCACCAAAACAAATCATTGGGCATTCAATTACTAACTGAATTACGCTCGAGATTGAAAAAAAATAGTAATATAGTTGAGTCCAAAGTCCAAATTCGCCGACTAATGTCTTACCTCACAAATGACAATATGATTACAACATTTCAGTCGTAAGGATTGCAAATACAATACTAATTTTGGACGTATTTCTTGTTTTTTAAGCAATTTTGCACTTATTTCAACTAATAGGGATCAATTCCTCGGTGTTATAATTGGACCACTTGCATTTACAATAAATTACAAAAAATATTGGGTCAATGGATTACGTGTTTAATTGATGAGTTACTGATCATTTATTGAACTGCTGAATTATATAATAATAATAATAATAAATATAAATATAAAATTATAACCATCATAATCATGAAGTTTTTTTTTTTTTTTTTTGGAAAACATCATAAAGTAAAGTTGGTTTAGTAACAAATGTTATAAATTGCATTCTCATGCTTCGGGCTTGAATTTCAACACTTTTCAAGTAATGCCGTTTCAATATCGGTGGAACGCAACGGCGAATTTAGAAAAAAAATTTAATATCTGCACACTTAAAATAGAATAAAAGAATAAAGGAATATTTTTAATAAAATTTAAATATATTAAAGTAAAAAATATAAAAAGAAAAGAAAACTTTAACTTAATATAAAAAAGTAATCCAGAGTTAACTAAACTGTGACAATAAAATATTTTGGATCATCAACAAAAATTACGAGCCTCAATTTAATTTCCTAGAAAAAAAAGTCTACTCGTAATCACTCAGAATTCAAAAATAATCCCAGATAATCAAAATTATGATCTCTAAAATTCAAAAAGATCAACATTAATCCTTCAAAAGGACTAACATGGATCTATTTTAAAATTTAATGGAATCACAAGTCGATTTTTTTAAAGAGAATAAACTGAATCTTGTAATTTTTGTTGATGAATCAAAATATTTTTTTTTTCCCCAAAAATTTGTGTGTGCATTTACACACAGTTGTACACACAGGTCCGTCATTGGTCGAGCCCGATTCAGGTTGGTAAAAAACAATTATCTTCTTTTTAGTCTACATTTGTAAATGGATAATGAAAGATTAATTTGCACCATGTTAAGTTTAGAATATTAATTACTTTAGTAACAATATAATATTTTTCTCAGGTCTTGAACCATTATATGGCTCGGGTCACATACTCACGTACGTGCATAATTTTATAGGATATTAACACCTTAACACGGTGGTTTCTCTCTCTCTAAATTTTAAAACAAATAAAAATAAAATCTAAGATAACAACATATTTACTTTATTGTGAGTTTATTTTATAATAACTTTTAAGGAAAATAATTATTTTATCTTGTATAAAATAATTATCTTATGCAATAAAGATAATTTATCGGAGTTCACTAATTAAAAAAAAAAAAATTGACACTCATATCGATATATGTGTAAAAAACAGATGAATATCCCCTAGTTTTAAGAATCAAATTTGTAGAATTAGAAAGCAATATCAGTTTAGATAGATTGAAACTGATGAGAGCACTACCGTGAACAGAAATATAACAAAAAACATAATAAGAAACAGAACCTAGTTCTCAGTGTTTAGCTTAAAGGTACTTTTATTTTTGGGGTTACATAGGACACTTAACATACTTTAACAAAAGTTCATGTTACCAAACTGAAGCCCAAAGTAAATTTTGGGCATAAAGACACTACTACATAAATAAGTGCATATTATGGTTGCTGAAGGCTTTTGCTGGCAGCTCCCCCAGGTTCTAGTGGGATGATCTGGGTTTGTGGTTGAGGAGCATCTGCCGGAGCTCAACCGGGTCAATTTCAACGGCGTGGTTGATGGGCCTATAGTAACCAGTTACTGGGTCTGGGCCCCAAGCCGAGCGGGCCTCTGAAGCATCTCTTGTCACAGGCTTCTCTTCTAAGCTTCTCACCATTCCACTCCTACGCGCAATATCACGCAATCCAACTCTACCAGAAACATCAGACGCGACCGCATAACCTCGCCTATCATAATATATACATTAAAATAAGGTCGAGCACGATAACAATTACATAAAAAAAATTTACACTAGATCAAAATGAAACTCAACATATAATAATACTAATACATACATATCGGCCACAAGCATCAAATTGCCAATTTAATTATAATAAAGAATGATAATAAACATCTTATATGTTGAAAGAAAGAAAGAAAAAACTTAACGAAAGTACTAAATGGATAAGTTATATAAGAATATATGTTAACAACCATATCTATCCATATCAGTTGCTGTTGTTGGCAGATATGATTGGTTTGAATTTTGTATTTCCAACAGCTATGTATCATATCTCAGCAAGATTAGTTTGTTAGCTTGCTGATAGGTTTAGTTTGAATTTTGTAAATAGAATTAGTTTGTTTAGTTTGTTTCAATTCGTTGTAACAGCATAGTCTACTTATAGATATCAGTATAATGAATACGATCAACTTGAACTTTCACAAAATCTATTAATATATAAGCCATATGAATTGAAAATAATCTCAAAATTGGAACTGACCAATGAACTGGAATTTGGGAGAGAGATTCAGCAACAAGTGCAACAAGACGGTTGGCTTGTGAGAGAGAGCGGGCCATCTTATATTAAATGATTGATTCCTTAGTTTGCTGCTGCTGTGAAAGCTATTCTTTGATGTTTGTGGCGTTGGAGAACGCTTCCGCAGCAGCCACCACTCTTTCGTTCACTATTCTTCTCTCTCTGTCTGTGTGTTAGGGTTTGTGTGGCATACTTATAGAGAAGAGAGAGATTAAGAGTGTATTAGGGATGGCGTTACTGGGTTGGGTAACTTGGGTTGGCTTTTTCGGAAAACTGGGGGCAGAACCAACGGTGGAAAATTTATTCACTGTTATGAGTTTTATGTGCATCTCCTATTTACAATATGGGATATGCAACTTTGGTGTTACCACGTATAGGAAAAAGTGCAGCAACATTTATTTTTCTCAGGATATATGTGTGAATTCTGATGTTTGTTTTTTAGTACAGGATACGATCACTTATCCTAATGTTAAAAATTTGTTGCAATTTTTCTCATAAGCAGTGAAAGAAAAACTGAGGAACCCTTACAATATTTTTGTTAAATCATTTGATAAATAGTTTATTTTAATATTAAATAAAAAATAAGACACGTGTTATATTGAAAATAGAAAATGCGTAAAAAATTTCACTGCATCAATAATACCGAAGAAATTCTCCCAACGGTGACGATTTGAGTGCGAACAGCTAATCCAAGATCTGCTACGGTCATGACACGCGTTAGTAAGGAATATTACTTTTTTCACACACATTCATGCATATATTTTCTTCTTATGACTATGATGATAAGCATGCGTTCCAGTGCTGACTCAAACTCAGTTCAAATAATATTTTAACATCTCTTTTAAAACGTCTCGTGTTATTATATACAACAATAATTATCTGCATAAATAAGATAATATCGCAACTGGTAAAATAAGATCAAAGTCTACGCATAAACTACAAGGACTTCGCAATCGTCCACCTCTTCGCATGCGGTATTCAATGGTCTTGGGCTCATTGCCATGAGAATTTATAGTTAAAAGTAAGAGGATGTTTGGTATAGGTATTTTGTATAAAATGATGGGGAAGTGGGGTGAGTAATATTTAATTACTATGTTTGGTATGAGTTTTGTTAAAAAAGTCACAGCAAATAATTTTCCCAATACTTTCCATTTCAACTACACAATGGCAACAAATTATCCTCTTGAACCTGCTCCCTATCATTTTGGATTGTGAATATAATATCTTAGTCAAAAACACTCTTCTGATTTGCTGAGAATGGAGCTTGCCTCAATCATTTGATAACTTACCGTAACGATATACGTTTATGTCATTGAAAATTTTGTAAATTATTTTTAACATTGTTGAAGTAAACAAAAATAATTTTTTGACATGGTTACAAAGTCAGGATAACTAGTTAACGAATAGTAGTCAGGCAGGCATGGAGTGAAATATTAATTTTTTTTAATATTCAAAAAATTAAAGGGTATTTTGATATTTTCGATTCACATTTCCATTAATATTTTATCATCAACCAAACATAGCATCGGTAAAATGAACTAAACTTTCCCGTCAAAATTTTAGCCAACCAAACTCTTTTTCGTCATTTACCCGGGCTCAAAAAATTTCTATCAAATCCCCAACCATCTTTTTTTTTTCGGTTAAAAAAAATATATTCCATACCAAACGCCCCTAAAGTTCATAACTTCTTTCGTTTTTCCGCATACATAGCAACTAGTGAACTTCATGCTTTTTAAAAAAAATAAAAATAACATCACGGATTTCAAGTTGAGAGAACAGGAGAAAAATATTTATGCCGCAATTACAAGAGTGTTTTACTCTAAAATTAAAGTAAATTGAGAACAACGATTGGCGTAGTTGATCAAGGATTAGATACATATTTTGTTAGGGTATGAAACTTATTGATACGATAATTTTATTTGCGGATGATCTATAATCCTTTGAGAAATCCTTAAAAATGTTAGGGTGTTTGTCATGATTTTTGTGAGATACTCGTGTCTAGTTTCATTTAAAATTTTCATATATATAAAAAAAGAGTTTGGTGTTTGTCATTTTAAATGATATAAGTTATGTCATTTTAGAATAGAGATAGGCACATAAAAATGGAAATCATGAGAGAGAGAAACTGAGTGATTTTTTTTAATTTAAAATTTAAATAAAAAAATTATTTTGTGTCTATTTCTCTCTTAAAATAACATAACTTTATGTCATTTAAAATGATAAATATTTTTTTTTCATAAAAACAATGGATTTTATAAAAGTTATGTTGTAGGAAAAATGATTATGTAATGTTATAGAGATTCATTTTACGTGCCTTAGTTTTTTTTTTTGTTTCAAAAAGTGCGGGCCACACAAAATGTGTGTGTAGGAAATTTTTGTGTTTCAAGTTACATGATGAATACAAACCCTAAAAAAAATTGAAAGCAAATTTTAATAACTAATTGATATAAAAGTGAATAGACATCTCTTACGAGGCGTTTGGTAGAAGAAAAAAAAAATTTACTAGGAAAATATAATTACAAGGAAAAAGGTGAGAAAGAAAGTTTGGTAGGAAAGTTTAAAAAAAAATTGTTTGGTACCGCAAAATACTGCTGCAAATTGTTTGGTATCGTATGTCACGTGTCCCGTGTCGGTGTCGGTATTACATAGGTGCATCCATACATTTTTTAAATATGATAATAATTTTACCTATAAATTTTTTAGTAAATATAAAAGTTTAGTTTATTTTAGAGAAATTAATATATTTGTATACATGCATGAAAATCCTATATATTAGTGAGTCTTGTATGCTACATTGCTACCTCTGTTTTAAAATATTAGTTATTGAAAATTACTTGTAAGGTTTAAGGACTTTACTAAATATTTTTAACTTTGAGAAAGTATAATTTATTACCTTTTCTCTCTCTCTCTCTCTCTCTCTCTCTTGATCAATAGTTTCTTCTCATTTTACTTAATAAATATATTGAGAGGTAAGAATAAATTTTGAAAAAAAAATAGTTCATGCCTTTTTGTTTTAAAAAAAATTATTTTTAAAAAATGATTAAGATTTTAAAAGAAAAGAATAGATATTAATCCTCATATAACTAATAAAATAATACATTTAGTTTTCACCAAAAAAATAATAATAATAATACATTTAGTAGGCCATTGAATCAAATCAAAATCGACAACAATTGCACTGGGCAATAGGTGGCCACAAAACGCGGGATAAAGCCATAGTATTTATCACTAACGCTGCGATCCAATCAACTAAGATAATATTGTTAATTAGGAAGTGCAATTAATTAATAGTAAATCAAATGCACAAAAGGATATGGGTGGTAACAAATCCAGGTAGGATAGTTTTGGGCTCGATTCATCATACAAGTAAGCTTATTTTTTTATTATAATTTAAGCTAAATTTTCATACTCATCGAATTAACAAACTAAACTGCGAGTAGTTGCAATGCCAGTCCCATATAGTTTGGACTTTGGACGGCCTAGTGGGTTTATTACATGTGGTTCAAAATACATGTCAAATCTCAATTCAATCATAACAAGGATCGAAATGATGATAAAATAATCGGGCCACCCTCTTGATTTTCATATCGCTCTTATCTTCTATTATAAGGGTCACTTTTCATATCCATTTCAAAAAATAAATATCTTCTCATTTTTAAATGTAAAAAGTATTTCTCACTACTTGTGTCATTTTACTTTTATCGAGATAGGACTTATATCTCTCTTTTATATGATCTATCTCTTTTTTTTATTTAAAATAATATAATTTTATATCATTTAAAATGACACACACTTTTTTCTTTTTAAAAATTGAATTTTTTTAAATCTATAACTTTTATTATTTAATATGAATATATATTACTTAATTTTATAACATTTGAAGAAAATTTTATTATTTTAAAATTATACGATACTCTATTTTTAATTTATTAATAATATGAGGATATACTATCCATTAATAGTTGTTGTACAGTGATCCATAACTTAACCAAATACTGTTAGCACAATAATTAAGAGTGAGTTCGAGTTTTGGGAGTAGAAATTTTTTTATGAGAGAACGCCCCCTTTAATATGATACGCGAATCGGATGTAATCCAAAGAACGAAGTTGTTAGAAAAGAAAAAAAAAATGTGATCCATAACTTCTGTCAAGTTTGTTTAGTGTCCGAATTTAATCCTTGAATTGGCTACACTTGGAGAATTTAAATGCTTTAGACTAGGTCCTAGATAGAGTTAAGAATTCCATACGTTCCTCGTGATAAAGTCGATAGTAAATTGTAGCTCAAACCCCTGTAGCGCTTGAAAACTTGGGACAATGCTTTTGACGAATTACAGAATTAGTGGGAATGTATGGAGCTAATTTTCTGTTATCCAGCACCACATGCTCTTCGACTAAAAATAAAAAATGTGAAATATGAATGGAAATAAATATAAAGACAATGATAATATAAAATTTATATTTTTATTATATTTGATAAAAGAAGTATCGAGTAGGCAACTATTATGTGATTCTGGAACACGAAAAATATTTTTTAATGTGTGAGATTCGTTGCTAACGTCTAACTCAAGGTAGTCAAAAATTCACTTTAAAACTTAAAATCGGCATTTATATTTTTTTTTTTTCGTCAAAACATTTTCGTTAACATTTCCCTTATTTTTTTATTTTTTCCTACAATTTTATGTTTTTTGATTTTTTATTCCTCATTTTTTTAAGGTAAAAATTCGATTTTGTCGACCTTGGTCTAACCGACAACCTTTGAATTTACCGTTCAACCCACCACCCTAGAACTCCATTTGAGAATAAACCATACGTGTGTCTAAAAAAAAAAAAAAATTAAAAATGTAACAAAGATGGAAAAGTGTAAGGTAAGGGAAACAAATATGTATCATGATTTTAAATTTTTAAAGTGTTTAATATATCTTTAGTCGATGGAGAAAACTTATTCCAATGATTGCAAAACAATGTGAGAAAAATATATTTTTGTATTTTATATATATATATATATATATATATATATGAAGAGAGATATTCTTACTACCAAAATTTTGCACTACCAACTTACTACCTATCAAATCACCATTAGATTAACATTTTCTCTCTCTTGAAAAACTTTTTAACATTCTCTCTTTTTGATCCAATGATGATGTGGTTGGTAGTAAGTTAGTAGTAAAAAAAATTTGTAGTTAAAATATCCGTACTCTATATCTATATATATATATATATATATATATATATATATAAACATGTTTGGTAAATGATTATTTTACAAAAAAAATTATATTCTTTTAAGTTCTCATCAAACTTTTAATTATTATTTTTATTTTAAAGTAAGTTAATCTAAACACCTACATTCTTTAGAAATTTGGATTTTGGTCTAGTAGAAATTTGGTGGTTTAACCAGTCCTGCTTTAGAAATGAAAACACTGGAGACTTTGGTGTATATGCACTTTATCATGGTAATTTTAGGTGCCCCCCTAATATTGTGATTTAGAAGCTGTGCACACATCCAATTTAATCTAATAACACTTTTGTACTTCATATGAAGGAAATCAGAACAGTTTACACACAGTAAAAAAAACAGAGGAAGATGAACTGCATCCCGCAATATATGATAGTAAAACACACTATACAAAATAAAACAAAAAAAATGTAGCTCTCGTGAAATAATCTTCCTTTGGCAGGGATGCTGCTTTTATTTCACTGCCAGACATATATAAATCTCATCGAATTACTAATACACACACACACACACACACACACACACACACATATATATATATATATATATCTAATATAATCCAAAATGAGCTAAAGAAGCCAGTTTGTTTTATATATATATGTTTATTTTCAGTAACTTTCTTGTTTTAATTTTCTTTTCTACCTCAGTTTTAATCTATGCTGCAGATAGACCTTTGCCTCCAGTGCCTTTTACGTCACCGAATAATCTTTGCCGGAAATCAGTGACCATTAGAGGAAGTCCATCATGGAGGGACACAACAGGCTGCCACCCAAGAAGCTCCTTTGCTCTGGAGATGTCTGGCTTCCTCTTATGTGGGTCATCCTCTGTGTTAGGTCTAAACTCTATCCTCGCATTTGGGTCTATTGTCTCTTGTACCACCTGCACAAACCAAATTAAGTTATTACTTTTCTTTTTACTATTCAAAATTTAAAAGATTTATTATATATGTTCATATCATCATATGTATATTATACGATGGAGCTTTGATTTGTACAGTACACTATGCTCGCAACTGCAAGTACATTGAAATATATATTATTACCTTAGCAAGTTCAAGCATTGTGAATTCACCCGGGTTGCCAAGATTGAAAGGACCGATATGATCTCCTTCCATCAGCCTCATTAGGCCTTCTACCTGTTATGTGCACAGGTCCATGTTAAACATTTACCAACGGTTTCTATAGTCCCCTTTAATTAGGAACGCCAAACTTTACGAGACAGACTACATCCAAACCAAAAGGGTTATTTGAGTTCTACATTTCATCTTTTTGACAGTCAAAATTTTAATTTATAATGCTATGCCGTTGTGGATATTCATTAGAGCTAGCTTAGTCGGAGTTTTAGAATCAAATGTAAAGTTACTTGCTCGTGCATGGTGGAAAACCATTTCGAAATAACGTACCGAAAACAAAACAAAACGTTATACTAACACCTGAGTTCTCAGTTTGTAGGTAGTCAAAAAATCAAGTACAAAGTAGTTCGCATTTTACAAAAAATAAATATCAATGATATTTGGACATTCAGAATTGCATTAGATTAATCATAAACAGTTTCTTTAAGTTGAGTCCATTGATATAGTTGGGGAAAAAAAACATAATTAGAAAGAGAAGTCAGAAATCTAAGGCGCTAGTATATTCTTAAATAGTGGATCATGTTTTGCCATATTTAGAAGGATTCCGGTATTCGATTCAATGAAGCTTCTAATTTTCAAAAAAAAAATCTTATTAGCCAGAAAAGGTGCATATGCCATGAAAAAATTTACCAAGTCAGAAACATATTGAAAGCTTCTTGTCTGTTTTCCATCGCCATAAACAGTCAACGGTTCATTCCTCAATGCCTGCAAAGTTTTAAAATTGTTTGGCAAGTTAAACAAAAATAGTGGATAAAAAGGCAACAATACCATTTACCAGAAAAAAAGAGAGAGGCAACAATACCCAATAAATAACCCCTCGAAAAAGAGTTGAAAATGGCAGAGCTAAATTACCTGAGCAACAAAGTTACTGACAACACGCCCATCATCAAGGCACATTCTTGGTCCATATGTGTTGAAGATACGAGCAATTCTCACCTAGAGAACAATCAAATTGAAGCTCTTTTCACTTATGCAACACATAAACATGACGTACCATATATAAAAATGATAACGAGAACCAACCTCAATACCAGCGCCTCTGTGATAGTCCATTGTCAATGTCTCTGCAGTGCGCTTTCCCTCATCATAACAGCTTCTCACACCTTACACGCCAGCAACATGAAGTGAATGTGGATATAAAAACAAAAAAACAACAGCAAATTAAGCCAATATACTAAGCTATATATATATATTACCAATGGGATTAACGTTGCCCCAGTATGTCTCAACCTGTGGATGTTGAAGTGGATCACCATAAACCTCACTCGTGCTAGTCAGCAAAAAACGTGCACCAATTCTCTTAGCCAATCCCAACATGTTGAGCGTGCCCACCACATTGGTCTTGTGCACTCCAAATCAAATCAAAGCAAAAACAAATAAGAATCAAGGATTTTCCAATTTCAATCAATATCCACGTATTCCTTTATGCATCATCAATAAATCATATGTATTAAGACACGTGGTTGATGGAAAATATATATTTAATTAAACTACAAAAGAAAGAGAGAAAGAAAAAAAGATGGAAATGAAAGGAAGGATATGATGGTCTTGACGGGATTGAACTTGTAATGAACAGGGGAAGCAGGGCAAGCCAAATGGTAGATCTGGTCAACCTCGAGAAGGATGGGTTCAACGACGTCGTGGCGAATGAGTTCGAAGTTGGGGTTACCCATGTGGTGTAACACGTTCTCTTTCCTTCCAGTGAAGAAGTTATCAACGACGATCACGCTGTCACCCCTTTCAATCAGACGGTCCACGAGGTGGCTTCCGACGAAACCTGCTCCGCCGGTAACCAGGATCCTCTTTTGTCTCTTGCCTTTCAACCCAAGAGAAACTCTTGCCTTTCTCTTAATCCCTTCCTTCTCTTCCAAGAGGACCCGACGAGTCGGGAGAGCCAACTCGGTTTCGAGGAACGAGTCATGAAGAGGGACAATGGATGATGTAGATCGAGAAGGAAGGAGGTTGAAGAAGAGGGTGGCAATGGCGACACCGATGAGGAGGAAAGGGACTCGCTGTCGAAGCATGTAGCCAAATTGGTGGTTCGTGGATTTTCGCGGCGGAGAAATTGGAGGTTGATCGCGCGATGAATCTGAGGTGCTTTTCTGGGTTTCTCTTCTGTGAATTAGCTCAGAGCTCATCTTTCTATCTTTGTTCTTAATTTCTCTTACACTGACATAAAGGTACTTCTTTCTCTGTTTGGTAAATTGATAGAGAGTTCAAGATGCTAGAGAGAGATAGAAAATGGAAGATGCACTGAATTGTGATGCATGAAATTTGGCTTTATAATCGTTCCAACATGCGCGGAATTGGTGGCCTCTCTCTCTCTCTCTCTCTCTTTTGTTAATTTGCAAGTTTGAGGTTCGCCATTTTCCTTTTTTATTTTTATTTTTTTTGTTTGGTTTCTTTCGATGTAAGTCAAATCCACGATGCAAGGGAGGGAGACACAGACTTAATACTTGGCGCATTTTCATATGTGGGTAAAGTTTTGTGTGTGTACAAATTGTCAGAGATGAACATGTGCTTCGTGCGAGATGCAGCAATGGAAGCCGAGTGGCATGTGTTTGACCAATATGGCAATATTATTTCAGGACACCCGCTATTCTAGCAGTTCTTCATGTCTAGTTAACATTTGAGATTCGCATTTTTTTTTTTTTTAGAAAATTATTTTCTTATGTTACATGAAAAAAATTATTATCTCGTACATTTACATATTTTAAATGGGTTTTATAAGATTTTTTTCTCTCATCTTTAACTTTTTTCCCTCTCCTAACTATTGTTTGAGCATGAGATAATACTTCTCTTATGCAACATAAGAGAAGTATTACCCTTTTTTTTATCACATTAATTCTTAGTTCTTGAAAATGACCTTTGTCTTTGATATTTACTCAATGCAATTATAATGTATTTATTGGGTTATAGTCGGTTTTGCATCATTTCATGAATAATTAAAGGGAAAAACAAGTATAATATTGTAGGACAATTCTTTTATCATGTTATAAAGATAATAGATATGGAATTTATCATGTTTAAAAAAAGAAGAAAAAGAAAAAAAAAAGAATGTAACACAAATATTGATGTATGTGTTAAAATTTTTGCATTTATCATGTTGCATGGCAAATGCAAAATCCATAATTAAAAGTCACATATAAAAAATAGTATAATATAACCTATAGTTTGATAATAATAATTAATAAGTACTCGAATATATTTTTAGAAAGAAATCTCGAAAAAAGTCACGAGTAAACCAAAGGATATCAAAGTATTTAATGTTTAGTACTAAATCTAGTCTGCAGTGGCGGAGCCATGTGTGATATGGGTGTGGCTTTAACCTAGGTTAAATTTTATCAAATTGTACTTATTATATATAATTATATAATTAATTATAATTTGATCCGAATTAAAATTGTAATATGGCTCGGGCTACAATTTATAATTTGATCTTATGTAAAACTTAAAATATTTTTTGTGAAAGATTTGGGTAAGTTGTATTAAGTTATGTGTTTAATTTTCACTTGTATAAAATAAATAAATTATTTTTAGTAAAATTAAAAAATATTTAATAAAATTTTAACTCTTTTTAGTGCTACCTGCCCAGATGTTCTGTATTTGATGTAATTTAAATATATTATGATATGAATCAACTAAAATTAAGAAAAATAAATACACATATAATTTTTTGGCCCGAGCTCAAATTAGAGCCCGATTCCACCACTCCTAGTCTGCCAATTTTTTTTTTGGAAATATTCCATCGATTAATCGCTTCGCGACTAATCTGATTCGGGGCGGGACCAAGATTAAGACTTTAAACCCCTCCTAAAAGTGGTACTGAGAAGATTCGAACACATACTCTCACTCCCACCTGCTCAGCTCTCATGCGCCAAGTGAACTACCATCATTTGGTGCAGCTTTATGTATTTGCGTGTGTATTTCGTTTTATTGTTTTCATCTAATAATATAATTAAACTTAAATTTGTTCGTTTCGGAATCTCAGCGTCTTCTAAAAAGCCGTTTGAATGTAGATTTTTTTGCCCCTTTTAATAAACGGTTATATTTATCTCATTTTATATGAGATAAATAATTTTTCTACACATATAAAAAAAGATGAATCACATCACTCTTTTTTCCTCTCTCCTCTTACATGTAAGTCTTATTTATAATTTTATTTCTACAATATGAGGTAATTATTTTCCTACAACATAAGAAAAGATTTGATGTTTGTCATTTTAAATGACATAAGTTATGTCATGTTAAGAGAGAGACATACACAAGAAATGAAAATCATGGGAGAGAGAAAATAAGTACTTTTTTAATTTAAATTTTAAATAAAAAATTTATCTTATATCTATTTATCTCTTAAAATAATATAACTTTGTATCATTTAAAATGACAAACACTTTTTTCCGTAAAAAAATATTTCCCTTTAATAAAACGTGCATTGGAACTTATACTTTTCAGTTTTCACATCTAAAACGAATGTCACAAACAGGTGGTAGTACCGTGGAGTGTGTAATACGTATTTCTTTTTAAAAAAATTGTATTTTAGCGAAAGGATTGGAAGAGGTGTTAATGGCCAGATTCCACTGGCCAGTGATATGTGGCGAGGCGGGTATTGTAGCCTACGACTACGTTGCACATATATTCACATGGGAACGATACGGTAATACATAAATTTTAAAAAATATTAAACTTTGACACAGTAACACATATTATAATATTACATAATATTTTTAATATATAATATACTTTATATTTAATACATATAGTAGTTAATAAAAAAATATACAACCAATAAATATCTTGAATAATTTTATCTATAAATATGTTGCTCGTGAGTGTGCTAAAGCCTAAAGGTATTGATTATAGAGTTTATGATATTATTTATAAAATACTTTTGATTTTTCAATATAATTTAAAATATCTGTCATTTAAGGTAACATACAACAAATAAGATGGCCATTAAATAGCCTTGATTTTATTTCAAAAGAATTATATTCAATTAAATTACCCATCATTAGAATATTAAAGATATTATCAGATTATAAATATTTTATTATTATTTTTTTAGCAAAGTGATAAAGTAATTGAAAAATACAATTATTTTTTACCAAAAAATAAATAAAGAATACAATTATTTTAACATAAATAAATATTTTAAAACTGGGAAAGAATTTAATTGTGCACACATTAAATGCATTTTGATCATATTCACAATGCGACTCAAACGTCACCTCTTTCGTCGCGTCGTATCGCATCCTATCACATCTCGTATACTATAATAATAACGAAACCCACCACCTGTTTTTGCTGCAAAGCTCATACCTTTAAGCATGCTCGAGGCGATACTGACCCTCTGCATTTTGGGTTTTTACGCCTTGCATTATCCTCACTCTTCTGCACCTTCATCCACTTACCAAAATGCCTCACACTTCCAAAATATTTTCCTTTCCACTTCCTTCAACTCCTCAACCTCAGAAGAAGCAAAAGATTGACAAAGATTGCGACTTCGATTCCCCTCCATCATCGTCTTCTGCCGCCATCGTCTCCCTCGCTCCAGAAGAAATTCGAAAATCATTGAATTCTTCAGCAGAAACAAGCTCATCGAAATTCTCGAAACCGCAGCACTTCGTCATCCTGACGTGGTCGACGCCATTCGTTCCATCACAGACCACGACACCATTCTCCAAAAGCTTTTCGTCCGAGGCATCGACGGCGAAACCACCAGCAACTCCCTCCACGAGGTCTTCTCCGTAGTTGGGCCCATTGACGAGGCAACAGTCATATTCGACAAAGCGAATGGGTCCACGAAGTTTTTTTTTTGTTTTAAAAACTTTGTTTTATTTTATAATTATTTAAATTTTATAAAAATTTCAAAAAAATTACATTTCTGCCTCTTATCGCGTGTCGAGATAGTCAATGTGTCTGAAATAATTGACCACATGTCGGACGCGTGTCAGAGAGTGTCGATGTCTGACATTCTATGACATGCCATTTTGCAGAAAATTGCGTGACGGACATCGACACTCTCTGACATGCGTTTGACATGTGGTCAATTATTTTAGACACATTGACTATCTTGACACGCTATTTTGACGGGGTCCAACACGGTCAAGAGGCAGAAATGTAAATTTTTTGAAATTTTTATAAAATTAAAATAATTATAAAATAAAATAAAAGTTTTTAAAACAAAAAAAAAAAAACTTTGTGGACCCATTCGCTTTGTCGAAGATGATTGTTGCCTCGTCAATGAGCCCAAATACGGAGAAGACCTCGTGGAGGGAGTTGCTGGTGGTTTCGCTGCTGAGGCCTCGGACGAAAAGCTTCTAGAGAGTGGTGTCGCGGTCAGTGATGGAACGAATGGCGACGAGGGGATGACCAAGTGCTGCGCTTTCGAGAACTTTGATGAGCTTGTTTCGGCCAAAGGGTTCGATGAGTTTTCGGATTTCTTTTAAGGTGAGGGAGGCTATAGCGGCAGAGGACGATATTGGAAGGGAATCGAGTTTGATGCCTTTGCATTTTGCTTTTTTGATATTGGAAATAATTATGATCTTCTTGAGTATGAAAAGGTGGTGTGTTTCGTTATTATTATAGTATATGGGATGGGAAGAGGTGGAGGTTTGAATCATATTGTGAATTTGATAATTAGGAATTTTGATTTATAAATTTAAAATGCATTTAATGTGGGGAAATGAATTTGTCATGTTACATGATAAATGAATTGTTTTTATGTTAGGAAAAAGACAATTATATAATATTAAAAAAAATAAGATGACACATTATTCAATGAAATGATATTGTCTTTTACATAACATAACAACTATTCATATGTCATGTAACATGACAAGTGCATTTCCTTTTAATGTGTGCACCATTAAATGCTTTCTGAGGATCAAAATATTTATTTGTTAAAATAATTGTAATCTTTCAATTACTTTATCACTTTGTTAAAAAAATAATAACAAATATTTATAAACTGATAGTATCTTTAATATTCTAATGATGGATATTTCTTTTGGTAAACAATGATGGGTAATTTAATTGAATATAATTATGTTTTGAAATAAAATTAAGGCTGTTTAATGGCCATCTTATTTATTGTTTATTACCTTAAATGATAAATATTTTAAATTATTTTGAATAA